ATTTTATTTTACTTTTATTAATTTTAACGTTTTACCTACGTGACTTTACCGAAAAAACCTAAGAATATGAATCCTTGCAGTCACGAAAGCTTCAAATCTAGACTGTATCTCCATCGTTTCCCACGTGAGCATTGACGTTTCCCACGTGAGCATTGACGTTTCCCACGTGAGCATTGACGTCACCCAGTAAGACTGTGGAGCCGGTAGGCACCACTTTGTCGAGCACTGCACCTACCAGTCTCCAAGAAGGCCGAATACTCTGAACTATTGTTTGGTGCAAACCCACAGACAACAGTCAGAGTTTTCCTTTCTGAGACCAGAAGTCTCATTGAGTCGACCCTCTCATCCACTGGGGCAAACTCCAACTGAACAGCACCCAGCCGGGGGCTTGTGAGTATCCCCACACCCGCCCAGGGCCTCTCAGCAGGGGTTTCTCTGGAATAGGAGAGAGACCACGCCCGATCGATAAGTTTGGTTCCAGTATCAATGCTGTGTGTGGAGGAAACACGGACTATATCAAGTCGGTACCTTTCCACCTCCTCCACCAGCTCTGGCTCCTTCCCCCCCAATAGCGAGTGTCCATCGCCAAGGTCCGGTCCGTCTGAGACCATCCATCTCCCTGTCATACCGGCATCGCACCCACCCCTCTCCCTTCGTCCTGCGGACTCGTGGGGCCCACAGGACGGCACCACGTGGCCATGCCAAGCATGGGCCCGACCTGGTTAAGTGGGTCACCCGGCCACCCGGCGCTTGCCGGCGAACACCACCATCAGGTCTGGCTCCAGGGGTGTGTCTGTCCCGCTATCTGATTTACTTTTTATTTTTGAACCATTCACCAGGGGCTTTATTTTATTTAAAACAGAAATTAATATGCATTGGAAAAAAACACGTTAGATATCTGGAGCACCCTGTACGATTTAAATCCCATGGCAAAACCCACCGTCAATGCGCCCCATATCGGATCTCGGAAGTTCAGCAGATTTGGGCCTCGACAATAGGGCATAGATCTGGGACAAACATGCACAAAACAGGCCTCCAACGGCGGAATGCGGGCATGCTCGCTAGCAGTGCTCGCACTGCTAGCGAGCGCGGTGAGGTATGGTCAAGCAACCCCCACGGGATGGGGAACGCCCTCGGTCGTCGCGGCGGATTGACAAACTCTGGCTGCGACGTGCCACGCGCGCGCACGATGGTATCGTGGACGCGCGTGCGAAGTTGCAATCGCCTTCTCGCGGTGCTACGTAAACAAGCGAACAAAAAAATCACGCTTTAAAGCGGGAGGTCGGGAACGTCCGGCCCGCGGGCGGTATGAGGCCCGCGAAATCATTTGGTGTGGCCCTGCCAAGGCTACCGCAGGCGGGACTCGAAATTCAACAAATCTAGGAGCACACTTGGAAAAGCAGTTGCGAGTAGCAACATCTTCTTGGTTCTTTCGGTAAAGTCACGTAGAATTCTACGTAGAATTCTACGTGACTTTACCGAAAGAACCAAGAAGATAAATCCCTGCAGTCACGAAAGCTTTAAATCGAAAAGTAGCAACATTATCAATAACCAGCTAACATCACACGTCTCGCCAAAGAGAAGCAGTTCCAGCCATCACATTAGGGGTGAGTTTGACCAAATATAACAGGGCTAATTTTGAAGTTAATAATGTTGTATGGCCCGCGAATGATGTTATAAATATCCAAATGAGCCTTGGCAGAAAAAGGTTCCCCAGTCCTGCTTTAAAGAATCACACCGAGTGTTCAGTTTGTGATTAATGAGAGTCGGGGAGTCGTATGTCAAAGATTGGATCGTAAGCATACTCGTGCCGTGCTCGCTATCAGTGACGTCGATTGGTGCAATTAATACAATGGGGCGGTATATTCTTAGGTTTTTTCGGTAAAGTCACGTAGGTAAAAAACATTAAAAAGTAAATAAAATAAAATATAAAATAAAAAATCACGACGTTTCGGAGGCAACACAAGCTTCCGTCTTCAGGTGGTACCGTCACAGCCACGACAGCTGTATCAAGTAAATGACGGTACCACCTGAAGACGGAAGCTTGTGTTGCCTCCGAAACGTCGTGATTTTTATTTTATTTTACTTTTTAATGTTTTTTTTTACCTACGTGACTTTACCGAAAAAACCTAAGAATATGAATCCCTGCAGTCACGAAAGCTTCAAATCTAGAAACAATGGAGCGGATTGTGTCCCTGTCACGTGTCTCCTCTTCGTAGCCCGCCGCCTGAACCAACCCCATAGCTTGAGATTATGTACAAGGTGGTCACGCATGAATGGGGCTTCCTTGGGGTGTTGTTGGTTAGCGCACGGGACCTGCAATTCTGAGGTCACAGAATCGGAATATGCATTAATTGAGGAGGAATCCGATGAGCTATGAAGCTATTTTGTCACAGATGTCCAGCGGGGACGGGTCAGAACGTTGCAGAGCAACAAACACTGCACGGCAGGAGTATAGGAGAGGCAAACAAATCGTTTAAACAAATATAAAAGTAAAATACTGTTATAGTAGTAGGTTTTTACCCTTTAAACTGGTACAAAACTGACACCTTTATACAAGGCATCATGTTTGCAATAACCGCAACACAAGCAGTCAAAATGCAAACAAAAAGAAACAACTCTGATAATGGTAATGATATGCACTGTCCTTGAAGCTCTCAATACTATGATAGTGCACTGTTTTTGAGTTGTACGCCTTTTGGCGTCATCTGGTCCAACACCAATGGAGACTAGGCTCTAAGAAAAGCTGTCTCGGGTGTGGACCAATCAACTTCAAGGACAGTGCATATCATTACCATTATCAGAGTTGTTTCTTTTTGTTTGCATTTTGACTGCTTGTGTTGCGGTTATTGCAAACATGATGCCTTGTATAAAGGTGTCAGTTTTGTACCAGTTTAAAGGGTAAACACCTACTACTATATTTTCCCACTGGTAAAGGAGGTCTCATAGTGTAAAATACTGTTGTTTTATCTTACAAGGTAAAGTCCACTGAGCTATCAACAGGTTCAAGTCCATCTCCCTGCACCCAAGGGTTGGCTGGGAAGTTAATTTCCTAAATTTCTCGCGCCTCTGGTCACCCAGCAGCAGCAGCAGTGCAACTGGGCACATCCACAGCGAGTGTGGACGTTTGTGAAGCTACTGGACGTCTGTGGAAAAAGAGCTTTATCGCTCATCGGATTCCTCCAGTGTAAATAAACATTCTGATTCTGATAGTCGCATTGGCAGGTCGCGTTCAAGTTCAAGTTCATTTATTAAGTTTAGCCCTGTGAGCCATTCGGCTCTTGAATCGGGTGCAACCGCAACAAACAAAAAAACTAAAACATGAACAAAAAACATCTTAAAGTGACTATGTGACTAAGTGCAAACAGAAAATCCAAGAAAAGACAGCAATATATTGCAGAAAAAAAAACCGTACACCAACGTGGTGGGTTACAGCGTGGGTACTCCACAACTTACTCCAACACACGTCGAGCCAGTGTGGAATAGGAAGAGTAGGCCAAATACGATCCGGTACTCCCTGCAGCGGAGGCCATTCCGCCGGCAGTGGCTTGAGCGAACAATTGCAGGGCTGGGCCATCCATCACATTTGTCTTGCTGCTGCTGCTGTTGTTGTTGTTGTTTAAACAATACGTATTGATGCTAAACATTCAGGGAGGGCACCGCAGAGTAGACGCGAAACAAACCGTCAACAACAAATGTTGAACGCGAAAAAGCAACAAACGGCACCGCACGTTCTTCTGCTTTTGTTTGTTTGTCATGTCATTCTGCGACGAAATATTCCAGCAACATAGTTTAGACGTGACTATAGCAATTTAAAGGGGTGACCTTGCGTGTCTTCGCCAGAGGGGAGAAGAAGAGAATGAGGTGGGTGGTGGGTGGGGTGGCGGCGCAGAGCCGAGCCGAGAGCACGGCGAATCGGGGCGACCGCCCCGGGCCCCACGCTTTGGGGGAGCCCCGCGTTTTGACGTCACGGTGTGTGAGATGTAATACTGCCGGTTGAGTGTGAGTTGCCCCCCCCCAACCCCCACTTAGAGACGGCCCTGATAGTGAGGGGGGGGGTGGGTCACTCAGGGTCCCATCCCCCACGGCGTGGCTGCCTCCCCCCCACCCCCCATCACCGGCGCAGTTGCACCGCCTACACACAACAAAGACAAAGATCCCCTGTATAGCCTCGACAGACTGTCGGGGCAAGTGCTGTTAGCGAGCACCTATGAAGGTCGGCACGGCGCACGAGGGGGTGGGTGGTCAGCACCACGCCCGGCCGCCTTTGTCTCCCCGGTGACGATGTTTACTGCAAGCCGCACCGGGTTGTCATTTGAGGCCGAGTCGACCTAGGGGAGGAGGCTCAGGACCGGTTCACATAATCATCACCGGTGTTAGCCATGAGCGGGAATCGAACTCGGGTTGCCGAGGTTTGTAGCGCAGCGCGCTAACCACTACCGCTCCCCAAACACCCACACACACACCCACACACACCACACATCCACACCCCCACACAGCCACCCACACACCTACACACCTACACACACCACCAACACACCCACCCACACACACCACACATCCACACACCACACATCCACACACCTACACACCCACCCACACACACACCACACACCCACACACACCACCCACCCACACACCACACATCCACACACCACACATCCACACACCCACACACCACACACCCACACACACCACCCACCCACACACCACACACCCACACACACCACCCACCCACACACCACACACCCACACACCACACACCCACACACCACACACCCACACACCACACACCCACACACCACCCACCCACACCACACACTCATCCACCCCACACATCTACACACGTAATCACACCCACACACATCCACACCACCACACACCCACCACGATGATGATAACTCCACCACGGCGTTTGCGCCTATGCGTAAGACGCGCGTGTTTCTCCGACACACATTTGCATGCTCCACATTACACTCCCACACTCGCGCAAACGCAACACATACGGACCAGCGCTGTGTCATAGTCACCGCGCAAGATTCCTATACCAGTCGGGCCACATTGTTGAAGAATACTAGAAAAAAAAGGCGTTGTGGTGTTTTTGTGTTGCTGCTGCTGCTGCTCGTCGCGATCGTTAAGACAATACCAAGGCAATGGCTCGGCTTTCGCGATTCATTCACGGATAACAAAATCGACGAACCTGCCAGGACGTAGCAGCCTCCTTCAGCCAAGCTTGTGCCCTCAACACCCAAGCCGGTAAGCGACTGTCCGCGTGAGCCTTTTTTTGTAAAACCTGTTACAAATAAAAGCTCGTTTTTGTCTGTCGGTTCGTCAGTGTGTCGAGTGTGTGGAGGTGGGGAGCGGTGGTATAGAGGTTAGCGCCACGCTGCGCTACGAACCCGGCGACCCGAGTTCGATTCCCGCTCACGGCCACCACCAACACCGGTGACGATTATCTAAAAGCGGTTCCTGGGCCTCCTCCCCTAGGTCGACTCAGCCTGAAATGAGTACCTGGCGCGGTGTGTAAACATCGACCACTAGGGAGACAAAGGCGGTCGGGCGTGGTGCTGACCACCTACCCCCATCGTGTGCCGTTCCGGCCTTAATAGCAGCTCGCTAACAGCACTTGCCCCAACAGTCTGTTAAGGCTACACGGGGAATATTTTATATGTGGTTATACGTGCACGAGAACGGGTGAGCCGGGGGCGTACGTGGTGGGCATTTGTGTGTGGAGCGGTGGCACTGCGATTAGCGCACAGCGCCACGAACACCGACCACCTCGGTTTGATTCCCGACCACGGCTAACATCAGTGGCGAGCGGTATCTAAACCCAGTCTTGTGCCTCGCGTAGGTTGACTCAGCCTCGAATGAGAAACCCAGTGGGGTGCGTACACAACATCAGCAATGGTGAAACAAAGGCGGTCGGGCGTGGTGCTGACCACCCATCCCCTCGTGTGCCGTGCCAGCCTTCATAGGCGCTCGCTAACAGCGCTTGCCCCAACAGTCTGTTAAAGGCTATACGGGGCAGCTTTGTCTTCGTATGGTGTTTACCTGTGGCTGTGCGGCAGTGTGTATCCTCTGGTTGTACTGGACATCTGCGAAAAAGAGCTTTATAGCTCATCGGATTCCTCCAGTATAAATTAATGTTTTTATTCTGATCTGTTTGTGTCATGGGTGGAAAAAAACCCCGATTTTGGGGGGTGGGCGTCGGGCACGGGGTAGTCGTAGAATGCGGCGGGCAGGTTGGTCTTGATGAACACGAGCTTCTCCTCCACAATCGTGGGCGCCAGTGAGCTCCTTAGCTTGGAATGGATGAAGCCCATCGTTGGGAAGTTGGCAAAGTGCGGTTCTGCAATTAGAACCAATTAAACCGGATTTCTCCCAATCGCAGATGATCGGGTTTAGTATAAAAATACAATTAAACCCGATTGTGAAAAACCCGACTGTGCCACCATTGGTTTGTGTGTATGTATGTATGTGTAATATCTGCGTGTGCATATATCTCTATCACAATCAATCGGCTGTTACAATCAGTGCAGTGAACCCAGGCGTTGGAAACGTGTACGATCCTGGCAAGGATGATGATTCAACATCGCCTTGCCAGGCAGCACGCCGAGGAGACACTTGCGGAGCCCCAATGTGGTGTCAGACCGGGGCACGGATGCCAGCCGGAGTCTGTGTCCGTCTGCGGCAGCAGAGGTGTAGAGAATTTCAACAGGAGCTAACATCTTCTTGGTTTTTTCGGTAAAGTCACGTAGAATGGAAATAATAAAAAAATAAAACATAATAAAATAATTCTCACGACGGTTCGGCCACAACGCAAGCAGCCGTCCTCAGGTGGAGAACAGGTCTGTCGAGAAGACAGACAGACAGACTCTGTCTCCTCGACAGACCTGTTCTCCACCTGAGGACGGCTGCTTGCTTTGTGGCCGAACCGTCGTGAGAATTATTTTATTATGTTTTATTTTTTTATTATTTCCATTCTACGTGACTTTACCGAAAGAACCAAGAAGATGAATGAATCCCTGCAGTCACGAAAGCTTTAAATCGTAAAGGAGCTAACATCTCTTCCTTTAAATGGCTAAGGCCGATGGTAGCATCCGGAGGTATTCGGCCTTGGTGGTTGTTCATTGTGCTTTTGCGGTACCTGGCCCTCTGCTCACGGTCATTTTGGACCTTCACGATGGATAAAGCTGTGCGCCCTGGCAGTCCGAGGACATTTCCTGTTGACACGTTACGATGGCGCATACTCTTTGGTTCTGTCGGTAAAGTCACGTGGGTAAGAAAAATAATAGATCACGACGTTTCGATCGCAACACAAGCAATCGTCATCAGGTGGGAGAACCACTGCTGTGGTTGAAAAAACTGCTGTGGTTGAAAAACTTTGGAAGTTTTTTCTTGCTGTGGTTGAAAAAATGTCAGCAGTTTTTTTCTTGCTGTGGTTGTCCCACATGATGACGATTGCTTGTGTTGCGATCGACACGTCGTGGTCTATTCTTTTTATACCTACGGGACTTTACCGAAAGAACTAAAGAGTATGGATTCCTGCAGTCACGAAAGCTTCAAATTACGATGGCATAGTTTCGAGTAGCGTTTAATGTCTGTACCAGTAGAAGTTGCATCTGGTACAGTACACAAACATCGGGGTGGCTGATCAATGTTTTGGTGCAGTCTAGCGACAGCGCCTTACTGGACATCCATGTGTATGCGTGCCGATGTCCTGGCAATTGTTGCCAATTCTTCGGAGTTGGAGACTCTGCTGTTGAACCTGGAGCTTGTTACGGAGAGGTCTGGACCTTCAGAAATCAGAATATGTATTTATTCTGGAGGAATCCGATGAGTTGCAAAGCTCATTTTCACATGTGTCCAGTAAGAGCAGGTCAGAACGTTACAGAACAACAAACAATACAACACACGGTAGTATTGCAGGGTATAGTTAAGGTAAGCAAATCACTTTAAAAAATGCAAATAAAACTAAACGATTCTATCCTACCAGATACATTTTATTGAGCTACGAGATGTGAACTACCTCGCATGGTATACAGGAGGTCGTGAAGTTTGATCCCGACCCTGACGCCTGCTGCTGTATATTTAGGGCTTGCATGTTCTCTTCCCGTGGTGGCGTGGATGTTTCTCCGGGCCCTCCGGTTTTTCCCCTCCACATTTATAATCAACATCACGAGTTCAGAGTATTCGGCTGCTATGCGTTCGCACAGGATAAGCAACTTCGTTGAGTTCTCGCTTGTGATAGCCAAGTCGCTTGTGAAAAAATAGCCATATAGCCCAGTCGGCATTACCTGGTAAAATAAAAAATATATATATTTTGGTTCTTTCGGTAAAGTCACGTAGAAGGGAAATAATACAATAATACAAATTTAAAACAATACAAATATAGTTTCGTTTTAGCTTCTTTTTCAGAAGCGACCAGGCCACAAACAATGGCTCAACACTAAATACAATGATTCTACAGTCAAAATGCTTCCGAAGTAAATGTATTCCAACTTTACTAATTCTGGGCCACTGAGAATGAAAATGATGCTTGAAATTGTTGATTGCCTCTAGTTTTCAAGAGATGCTACTGGGTCAGTATGTACGACCCTTGACTTGGGAATGGCGGAGGATAAGTGAGTTATGAAGGGAAAAGATCTCAATTTAAACCAGAAATGACTAAAAAACATCTTTGACTGGATCTATGAATAAATCTATGACTGGGTTTGGACAGTACTTGCTTTTTGAGCAAAACAATGAATCATGCAATCTGAACTTGGTATTGTGTAATACATGATATCATGATCCAGATGAGTGGAGACTGTTCATTGATTCATCGAAGATGAGTCTGAAAGCTGTTTTGCTGCATAATGGAAATGTTTTGCCATCACTTCCAGTTGGTCATGGAGTTCATATGAAGGAAACCTATGACAACATGAAACAACTTTTGAAGTGCATAAACTCTGACCAACATCAGTGGCAGCTTTGCTCAGTCTGCAGACTGGATACAAAAAGTGCTGCTGTTTTCTCTGCAAATGTGATAGTCGTGCGAGAGATTCCCGCTATATCAAAATAGATTGGCCCCTCCGACAGTCATTGGAGCCTGGGATGAAAAGTGTTCAGCACCCACCACTTGTTGAATCAATGAAGATGTTGTTACCACCCTAACACATCAAGCTGGGTCTGATGAAGAACTTTGTCAAAGCCGTGGACAAAACACAAGCAGCTTTCAAGTAAATCCGTGGAAAATGTCCAAAGTTAAGTGAAGCTAAAATCAAGGAAGGTGTCTTAGTTGGTCCTCAGATTCGTGAACTTCTTCGAGATGATGCATTTGACAGTGCACTGCGTGGCAAGGAAAAGACGGCATGGAAAGCCTTCCAGTTAGTGGCAACACATTTTCTCGGGAACAACAAGACAGACAACTACAGGGAGTTGGTGGAAAACCTTCTCAAGGCATACAAAAGCCTTGGTTGCAACATGTCACTAAAGATACAATTTTTGCACTCTCATCTAGATTTTTTTCACACCGAACTGCGGAGCAGTGAGGGATGAGCCTGGTAAGCGATGTCACCAGGACATTGCAACAATGGAGAAACTCTATCAGGGCAAATGGAGCCCAGCTTGCAGACTATTGCTGGACAGTGGATAAGAGATGCTCCATTTAATGGGTACAAGAGACAAGCCAAGAAGCGCCGAGTAGACACTGAATGAGGACTCAACTATGTCCTTATTTATACATAATCGTTTTTTGCCTTTTGTTTCATAATACATTTTATTTATACAACCCTTTTGATGATTTTTTTAAGTGTTATATGGACAGGACAGGCGACATGTGATCATGTAAAGCAACCACAAACACATGAAATGACATTGTATGAGTAAAACTCTACTATCTACACAATATACATAGACGTAAAATGTAAAAAAAAAAAATCTTGTGAACAGTAGTCAATCAGTTGTTTTAATTGTCATTTGAATTTAGCACGTCAAACTCCATAATAAACAGCACATTTCATCTCTGCAGCAGACGACATCTAAACAATTGTAGACCAGCGATGTCTGGGTACTCGGTGACACCTTACACCGCACAGTGACGTGACCCTCGCGGCACTGTAGCACGTTGGGCCCCCTGTTGCAGAGAGAGGTTCGTGGTTTGAATCCAGCGGCCGCCCTGGTTAATACTGCGGCACACGTGCCTTTCTGCTTCACAGTGGACACGTTAAAGATCGCCCCCACCCCCCGACGTTATTCGCAAGAGTAAGCCATTGTGTGTGGGTCCGATTATATAAAATGTACCTGCAAATTTATCCGTGGGAATTATGCGTAGCAATCACCTTCCCTTACTCTTGCAAACGAGAATGGTCATGGTATCTTTGAGGTCTTACCTGGCTAAACAAAGTATGTATGTACGTTGAACTTTCGCACCGCACGTGACAAACCCTGGTCATCGGAGGTGCGGGTGGATGGACAACAGAGTTAACGCAGAGTAACCTTGAATTCCACTCCCCCCAACTCTCCGTGAGTAATAGGAGTGGTTGCGGAGAGCGTGGATGAGTTTCCCGAACTGGACCGTGTGCTCATGTCCAGCTCCAGCTCCAGTTTGGCAGTGGAGGTCTCGCTCCAAATCAGCGTTATCTTTTCACCGGCAACACAACTGTCCCTAACTCTGCTGGCCTGTCGCTCCACACGAAGCTTCGAGTCTTCGTGGCCAATGCAGTCACCTCTCTTCTCTGTGGCCGTGAAGTGTGGACCCTTTGTTACAGGAACCATTGCGGGGGCATAATGTTCCAGCCGGCCTGCCTACTCGTTGATCTGTTTCAAGATCTATTACTGCGGTGGCGAGATGTTAACTACCTCGCCTGGTATGCAGGTGGTTGTGGGTTCGATCCTGACCCTGACGTCTGTATATTGGGAGTTTGCGTGTCTCTCCCCGTGGTGGCGTGGATTTTTCTCCGGGTCCTCCGGTTTTTCCCTCCACATTTAGAAACATGCGCTTTGAGTATGTGGCTGCTATAGATTTCCACATGATAAGCCACTTCGTTGAGCCATCATTTGTGACCAGGTCGCTTCTAACAAAGAGCTATATAGTGGCCCTTACCTGGAAAAATAAAAAAAAATGTGTTTAGAATAGTTTAGTTTATCTGGCAGGCGAGAATGCTGATCCGCAGGCCAGTCTGCCGTATGTATTCATAGAGGGGGCTAACACAGCTGCAGCATGGGATAGAGAAGAGGGGCACCAGTGGTTTTAGAATTGGCCTTTACGGAGGAGGCACGTTCAGGATGCCACTGGGCAGTTGGTGGCAGCCGCTATCTATGAACAATGTAGGGGGGAGAAGAGACGCTCACAACAGCGAGCAGAGCACTCAACTGAAGGGTTGGGGAGCGCAGGTGGTGCATCTGCCGGTTATCTCGATCAAGTATTCCGTAACACCTGGGGTCTGTTCCGTGATCTCTTGCCAGCAAAGCCTTTCAACAACTTCCCATGGCCTCAAAGTGCACTTAGCCGAGCACCAATGCCGCGGTGACGTCACCACCGCTTCGTTGTGAATGGCGGTTGTGTTTGTGTGTCTTTGTTGTTGTTGTTGTTGTCTGTGTGTGTGTATGGGTATCTTTGTGGGGAGTGGTGGTGCAGTGGTTTTGCGCACTGCACTCCGAACCAGACGAGCTGAGTTGTAATCACGGTCAGGGCCAAAAACTGGTGATTATTTTAACCGGTCTTGGGCCTCCCCTAGGTCGACTCAGCCTTTAAATAAATATCGGGTGCGGTGTGTAAACATCAGGGAGGCAAAAGTAGCCAGCCTTGGTGTTGGACACCACCACCAATCTCGGGTTCCGTGCTGGCTTTCAAAGGTGCTCGCTAACGACACTTGCCTCAACAGTATATTGAGGCTAATCGGGGGATCTTTGTGTGGTGTGAAGCTCCGAATCTTCTCGTCCACAGTGACGCCCTCCCTTCTCTACCTTTACGGAACGTGGAGCCCGTTAAAGGAACATTTTTTTCCGTCCTTGCGACAGAGCTGCTAATCTCAACGGGGGCCTCACCAGCTGCGACAATAATGAAGCCTCGAGTCTACGAGTCTCGGCTTGGGAACCAGCTGCTCTAGGCCACGTTTAAGGGCACCCTCTGGCCCGCGGATCCGACGCGGCCCGCGATTTAACTTCACGAGGCCCGTGACCACACGAGGCCCACCACTGCCATACAGACAATATCTATCCGTCACCGTCAGCACCTGCAGCCGCCTGCCTACCAACTAACACGTCAGCAGCCGTTGCTCAAAGCCTCCCGGGTAACCCTCCCGTGCTCACCGCCAACATCACCCCCTTCGTTCCCCGTTCCCCGTTCCCCGTTCCCGTTCCGTGCGGGCAGGTGGGGGCGACACCGAAGCCACGCACGCGGTCGCGAGTCGCGACGACACTCGGGCGGCCGGGCGCTGCTGCGGGAAACCGTTGAACACCTCCGCGCCGAAGCGCCGCGAGTCCTCCCGGCGGCGGCCATGTCCGGTGGCGAAGGCGAGCCGCCGCTGGGGTTCGTGCGGGTCCTCTACGAGTTCTCCTACGAGGACAGCGACGGCGGCCGCGGCCGGGTCACGCCCGGCGAGCGCTACTCGCTGCTGCAGACCAGCACCGCCGAGTGGTGGCTGGTGGGGCCCCTCGGTGGCGGCGGGGCAATGTTCTACCTGCCGGCCAGGTATGTGCAGAGGACTGCGGTGGCGGCGGCGGTGGTGGTTGGCCCGAAGCGCGTGGAGGTCGTGCGCAAGCGCGTGCCACCCATGCCTCCTCCACGGTGCCGGACGATGTGGAGGAACCACGTGGAGCCGCGCATCCGTTCGGAGGAGAGCGGAGATGGATCGTTCTCTGTGGAGGAGGAGGAGGAGGAGGACGAGGGGTGGCGGTCGAGACTGGACGTCAATTCCAACGATCACCACAACCACCACCACAACCACCACCACAACGACCACAACGACCACAATCACCAGCAGCAGCAGGACCACGACCAACGTCGCCACGACCACCAGAGTGACCATCACGATGATCGTGACCACCACGACCAGCACTACCACCACGACCAGTACCAGCACCATGACCAGCACCACGAGCAATACCAGCATCACGTCCAGTACCAGCCCCACAACTACGACCACGACAACCACCACCGCCATCACGACCACGACCAGGACCCCCACGACTCTCAAGACCACGTCGACTCGGGCGCCCGCGAGCACGTGGCGCTGACGGCGCTCTACACGAGCGTGTACACGGTGCACGGCCGTGCCCTCTCCACGGTGGCCGGCGAGCGGCTGCTGCTGGTGGAGAGGGCGTCGAGCGACTGGTGGGTCGTGTGCCGGCCGGAGCGGCGGGACGAGGCGTTCTACACGCCCGCGTCCTACGTCGCTCGCGGAGACGCGCCGGGCGTGGCGATGGTGGCGAGTGATGGTCACCGCGGATCAGCCGTCGGCCAGAGCAGCGGCAACAGCAGCAGCAACGCCAACAACGACAGCGGCGTCATCGGCAGCAGCAGCAACAACAGCGCGGGCATTGGCGGCTTCCACCACAATAGCAATAGCAGCAGCAGCAGCATGAACAGCAGCAGCGACAGCAGGGGTATTATCAGCATTGACCATAACAGCAGCAGCAACAGCAAGGGAATAGGCAGCTACAACAGCAACAGCAGGATCAGCAACAGCGCGGGCATTAGCAGGCTTCAACCATTACAACATCAGCATGAACAGCAGCAACGACATTGGCAGCATTAACCATAGCAACCCCATCAGCAACAGCAGCACGGGCATTAACAGCGTCAACCACAACAACAGCAGCAGCAAGAACAGCAACACGGGCGTTAGCAGATTTAATCACAACATCAGCAGCAAGGGCATTAGGAGATTCAACAACAACAACAACAGCAGCAGCAACGGCACGGGCATAGGCAGCTATAACCACAACAGCAGCAGCAACAACAGCAAGGGCATTGACAGCGTCAACCACAACAGCAGTAGCAATAGCACAGGCATAGCAAGCGTCATCCACAACAGCAGTAGCAATAGAACAGGCATAGCAAGCGTCATCCAAAACAGCAGTAGCAATACAACAGGCATAGCAAGCGTCATACACAACAGCAGTAGCAATAGCACAGGCATAGCAAGCGTCATCCAAAACAACAGCAGCAGCAACAGCACAGGCATTGACAGCGTCAACCACAACAGCAGCAGCAACAGCAGCAAGGGCATTAACAGCATCAACCACAACAGCAGCAGCAGCAGCAGCAACAAGGGCATTAACAGCGTCACCCACAACAACAGCAACAGCACTGGCAGCATCACCCACAGCAACAACAACAACAGCAGCAGCAGCACGAACGGCAGTGTGAGGGCGCAAGCGGCCGTGCCGGTGGGCAGCGCACTCTCGCGACCCGCGCCGCGTGCCATGACCCCGCGGCGCATCCACCCCGGCACCGTCGCGCGACCTCCGCTGCCGCCACCCTCGCCATCGTCGCCGACATCACCGACATCACCGACATCGCCGAAATCGCCGAAGTCGCCGGCGTCGCCGACGTTAGTGCGCGTCGTGCACCCGTGCGACTACACGAGCGAGCGGGGCCGCCGCGTGCGCATCGCGCGGGGCGAGCTCTTCGTGCTGTCGCGCAAGACCGACGCCTTCTGGTGGCGGGTGAGGCGCCTGGGCGAGCGCAAGCCCTTCTACGTGCCCACGGGCTACGTGCGGGAGGTGTGCGGCGGCGGCGGCGGCGGCCTCGGGAACGCGGCTGCCAACCGACAGCGGAGGCCTCCGAGTTCCGCCGCAGCCGTCGGGCGGAACGGCGGAACCGGCGCCGTCCCCGTCGTCCCACCGAGGCCCCGGCGACCCCCGGCCCGCCGCTCTGCGGGTGCTCTTCAACTTCGAGTACGCGGGGCGCGCGAGCGGGCAGCCCGTGCGCATCGCGGAGGGCGAGGAGCTGGAGCTGGTGAGCAAGGAGAGCGCCGAGTGGTGGAGGGCCGCTCGGCCCTGGCGGCGCGACGCTGCTGGTGCCGTCGGCGTACGTGGACGAGGTGGCGGCGGCGGCGCCGTCACGTCGGTCGTGATCGAGACAGATGGAGCGCACGCGGAGAAAAACAAGGGACTTGGAGCTTTCCCGGCAACGATGAGCAAGCTGGAAGTCATCCCAAGGAGCGTGTTTGTGATTCCACTGAGAGACAAAGAGGAACGTCGGTTTAACACGTAGGCTTTCGCGACCGATATTATTCATAATACACGTTTTTGGGTTCGATCATTGCGTTATTTATAAATGTGTCGTAACCCTCCACCACCCGACACGGCCAATCAGCACACACCGGTGGGATAAAGTAATTAACTATTTGTCTTTTGTCAACGTGACACTTTTTTTGCCGATTGGCCGTGTCGGGATGGTGGAGGGTTACGACACATTTATAAATAACGCGATCTAACCCAAAAACGTTTATCATGAAAGAGGAACGTGTGGAACGGAGCAAATTGCAAGTTGGAGACGACAAATCTTAAGAGACAGAAGTGGGTTTGGCCAGGGCAGATGACAACGCGAGACGATGGTCAAGGCCAACGGGTCGGCAACCGACTTAACAAGAAGAGGCTTTCTTTTTGTTTTCGAATTCTGTACAAAACTCAATATTTCAAGAGCCGCAGTGCACGTGAACATTTAAGACCAAGACAAAGATCCCCCGTGTAGCCTTAACCACACCAGGTACTCATTTCACCATAAGTTGGCGCTCAAACGCCGACGTTGTCGACCAGAGCCCTCCCCGACCACGGCGACGTTGTACAAAGTGCACATCTGGTGGTGGCGGTGGTGGGTGAGTGGGTGGGATTTGGGCCAAGTTTGATGTAAATGGTCACCTTGTGTGAACAAATAATATATTTTTTGTTAATTCACGAAACAAACCGTCCGGCCACATGCCCCCCCCCACCCCCCGTGATTTGTTTTCCACCGTGTGTACGCGTGCGCATCTGTGTCGCAGATGAACGCGCACGGGCACAGGCAGAGTTACCCACGATTAACACGACAGGCGCTTTCTTGAAAATCTTCGCGGAAGGCGAAAATCGCGTTCGTTCGACGCGAATTCCCCATGAATTTCCCCATAAAAAAATAGGCACTTCAAGTTGCTGCTCTAACGTTACCGCGTGGAAACTTTTCTTACTTGCACTACCGCTCGCTGCATCGCCGCCACGCTTCTCACCCTTGCCACGCATGATGAATGCGCACCCCTCTTTGAATGTCAAAGTAAATGCAAAGCCATGGCAACAGCCCACCCCGCACCCTCTGCGTGATGCGTCCGCGTACCATGAATGGGAAAATCAAAGAAAATCGAAGATTCGCCAATCTGCGGCTGCGGCAAAGCCCAAACCGTCGAACGCATCGCCGACGAGTGACGCCATCAATGCGCACATCGTGGCGGCATCGCGGCAGTCCGTACGGCCGCCGCGGATTGGTTGAAGGACCTCGGCATTCGACTGTGACGTCATTGCAAACTGCTGCTTACGTGCCATAGGCAAGATGAAGACGAGTGGCCGCTACATTCGGCAGGGCGTAAAAAAACTATTTTTTTTTTATTTTTGTTAATGGATATTGTGACCCCCCCCCCGCGCTGAAAGTTTGTTACACATCGCTAGTTGTGGGGGGGGGGGGGGGGGGGCTGATTCGTTTCACTGTCAAACCTCTCCAGTCACGTGGTTGCCATCGTGAGTCGATGTCAGTGGAACCTGGGTCAGCCTCAGCGACGCGGGTGACCGTCGCTTGTCATGATGTTGAAGCCTCCCCGAGTGGAGATCCACAGGGACGCTGCCACGGAGGTTGTACGACGGTTCGCGCGCTGGGCCTTCACGACCCGGGCGTCGGCGTGGAAGAGTAGGCCAAATAACCCGCCTCTGGAGAGTTGTTCCTCTAATATCTCCTCGCGAGTGGAGGCCCGCATTGCCAGCATTGGGCACGAGCAAGCGATTGCAGGGCTGCACCTTTATCTTGTTTTTTTATTTTTGACGAATTATAAATACGATGACAAGCATGTAAACGAATTGCAATCGAATGTAATTAATTTCCCACACCTCCTCTTAGCACGGTTGGCTACGTACGGTGCAGAAGAAGTTCCACATGCGTACAATTTACCAGTTTAGGTCGGAACGGATCATTGCCTCTCGTCTTTGCAGCTCCCGAATGGCGCTGGCCAAACATCCCAATATGCAGGACCTCCTTGAACAGTAATCTTGTGTGGATGTTTGACGTCTTTCGCAGCGTACGTAGCCAACCATACTCATCGGAGACACTTCCCTGGGTAAAAATAATTAGCGCAGTTGTTTATTATTGTATTGCTGTTCTGAAGAGCATCTGTTTACAACTAAACAAGTAAATATGCCCACGTGCATGCTTACAACGATTAAGTACGGTACTTACTTAAATCGAGGACAGCGGTGGCACCGCGGTCGGCACGCAGCGCTGTGAGCGAGCCATGGCTCACACGAGGGGCGAGTGCATTTAGCAACAAGTCCTGCTCCCCCGCCCCCACTTCCCCAACCCACACTAAGCGGCATGGCGAAGTACGGTCACTGAACGTCCACAACTCACATGGCATGGAGTGGGCCGTCATTCGTCAACACTGTGGACTATTCAAGGATTGAAACGTAAATATTGTTATTGTATCAAAGAGCCACCCCTCCACCCTCCCTTATAGCATTGACGACTGTTGGGGCAAGTGCTGTTAGAGTGGTGCACGAGGTGGTGGTGCGGCTAGAACCAGGCCCGGCCGCCTCTGTCTTCCCAGACCTGATGTCTCCGGTACTAATTTAAGCCCGAGTCAACTTAGGGGAATCGCAGACGGGTTGCGGACAAAACACGCCACGGATATTGGCCGTGGCAGGAATCGAACTCGGGTCACCGGATTTGTAGAGCAGTGCACTAACCACGGCACTTCTGCTCCCAAAAGACATAGATAAAGACCCTCCGTGTAGCCTTAACAGACTTTTTGGGGCAAGTGCTGTTTGCCAGCCCCTAATGAAGGCCAGCACGGCACACGAGGAGGTGGGTGGCCAGCACCACGCCCAGCTGCCTTTGTCTCCCCAGCGGCGATGTTTACACCAATTTGAGGCTGAGTCGACCTAGGGGAGGCTCAGGACCGCTTCAGATAATCGTCACCGGTGTTGTTGGGCGTGAGCGGGGAATTAAACTCGGAGTTGTTTAAGTTTGTAGCCAGCGTGCCAACCACTGCCCCACCACTCCCCACACGCATACTCGGGCTGATATTGCCAGAGGCAATGGATCCTAGTGAGCGCTGATGTGGGTCTACAGGACAGCGATTCGTTGGATTTAATTGATGGATTCATTGACACTTGCTGCGTAGGGCAATTGTATCGAGCAGATTGAATCGACGCACGGTTTATCTCGTCACGCATTCGTTCATCATGTTTTTGGCATTTTGACGTAAAATTCGTGTCAATCATCCCCGATGCAAATCCTTGCCCTACATTGACCAAGTGAAACGAATAACAACAATAATAATCCATTGAGCAGAATTATCGATGGCGCTGCGTCGGCAGTGGTGCACAAGCGCAGTCGACGTACAAACACAACTTGAGACACATCGGCAGAGCGACGCGGTGGCCCTCACATGGGAACGTATAATCGGCGACGTTTCGGGCAATGTCCCTTCGTTTCGAGCAGTGGATGTGTTTGTGAAGAAGGGTCATTGCCCTGAGACATCGCCTCATTATGTGTTTATGTTTAATTGTTTTCCTCTTCTTCTT